TAACATTTGCAAGCAATGGAACACTGCACAGCAATGAAATAGACCAAACCACAGCTGCATGTACCAACACGGGTGAGTCACACACAGAAAAGATACAAGAAGATGTGTGTTGTGTTGTTCCACTTACAGAGTTCAGGAGCAGGCACGGCTAATCCATGAGGGTGGAAATCAGCGCCATCATTACTTTTGGGTGCAGGGAGGCTGTGGCTGGGAGGAAGGACGGTAGGCTATTCTGGGCTGCTAAAAAGGTTCAATATTTTGAACTAGATTGTGTTTGCACATGGTCCTTTCATATGTAAAATTCATCAAGCACTTTTGTGCACTTTGCAGTACAACATAGGTTGTACTCAGGTTGTCCTCAGCCTGGTCCCCATCACACAGGTGGACGTCAGGGCTGAGCCTTGGCATTCATGACTTAGGGGAGTGGTTTTACATGAGTTCACTTTTCATGACTGCCTAGTAACCCATGATGCAGATGTGTGGATACGTAGGTCGGTGGCGTTTGTTTTTGCTCTTTTTACTCTATGCTTTGCTATATATTTTTTTAAAAGAAAATGTTTTAAACAATCCACATGCTCCACCAAAAGAAAGCGGCTGAAGTACAAATGACAGCATAAAATAATTGCCTAGCCTATATCACAACAGGGAAAAATATAAAATCTTAGCATAACATAATCAAAAAAGGCACAATGCCAAATTCTGCCCTCTGTGGGCATAGCTAAGTCAGTACTTGCAAGGATAGGGAGAGGGTCGAGAAAGAAACACGGGAAAAATATTAATAGAAAAAGCTGAAGCATCTTCTAAAAATGATTTTTTTTGTCGTTGTTATAGTGGTGCTTATGAAATAATGTTTTATTCTTAATTAAAGGCGTGCTTGAAGGAAGCCGTTAGGTAACTAACGGCGTGAGCAGCGTATGGATGTAGAACAAACCCACAGAGGCATCGCGGCAATGACTAAAGGTGCAGTATGAAGCAGATGATCTAAAGACCCTGCTAGTTATACCTGGTGTGACTACGTGCCAGCTTATGGAATAGTCAATCCACTAACCACCCAGTGGCCCAGATGAGGAACTAAAGGCTACTCACCATGGCAACCCCTTTGGCCTCCTGGGAGGCCATCGTGATGACGGCCATTGTGCTCACATTGAGAAAGAAGTATCCTGAGCCTTCTCTGACATGCAGCTCCGCCTGCAGGAGGGAGAGGCAGGGAGGGGTCGGGCTGCGTGTTCGAGGATAAGGGCCCCCCCAGTGGGTCTCACCCCAGCAGGGCCGTGGCAGGGCAAGGGCGTGCCTGGATGCCACGGTGGCTGTAGGTGGTCACCTCTTCTGGACTCACCCTCACGTCCTCCACCAGGATGAGCTCTTTGGAGGCCTACGCGGGCACAGGAGGGTCGTGCTGAACGGGCAAGGCCAACACCGTCAGATCCGAGGCCATGGCCGACTGCGGGCCAACGCAATGCCTGCCTGCAGCCCAAACTTGGGGAGGAGCAGGCCTAGAAGCCCCAAGTCCTGGCCACTCATCACATCCAGGACACAAACCCCAATAAAACCCTAGTGCTCCTGAGCCCTGCTAAATGGCTACGTCGCTTTTGAGGCCTCCCTCACCCAAGGCGGAGTGAGTTGCCGCCTCCTCCACTCCAGACAGAGGCTGGGTGAGCATCAGTCCTGCTCAGAGGACAGCCCCACCCCATCTTGCCAGGCCCCACTGGGTGGGAAACTCACACACACCCCGACCCTCAGGACCTCAGAGCAGATGGCCGGCTTCGG